GTTTTGGGGGGGGGGGGGGGGGGGGGGGGACACACATGACAAGATACACATTGTCAGGGTTGTAACAGTATTTTCACCTACAAAGTTGTGATAGCAAGTACATTTAAAAGCAGGAGAAGGAAAAGAATCCCTACTGTTAAGGTAGGACAGCATGAACTTTAAGAGAAAGTTGGGGCTAGTCCCTCAGGTAGTCAGGACTCCTGGACAAGTTGAGAACTGTCAACTCTGTTCTAGTACTTCCCTAGTCAGCTCTGCAAACTCAGGGCTCAAAAGCCAAATCAGATTCTTTTCCATGCTAGGCATTATCAACATCAATCAAAAAATGTTCTACAAGCCAAACTCAACCCTCTGTTACCTGTGTGCAGTAACTTCCTTGACTCCAGTGAGCTGCATAGTTCCAGTTACAGGGCTGATACTATTGAGATGTGACATCAGGAATGGACATCAGCTAACTAATTTCGGAGGTTTGATAGGAATAAAATGCAGTAGAACCTTAACACCGATTGAAGTCTGCAGATACAACTGACTGAAAAAAGGAAGAAAGTTGAGTAAGAAAATGCCAAATGTACAGGCACATTATGGAGAAGAAGCATATTTTGACTATGTGATATTATGCACATACTATGAGTAATTCTCTTATAGCAATAGTATTAGTAGTGCTGAAGAAAAGAATGAAGGCAAATAGAGTGTTGAACTCCAAAGGGAAGTTAAGTGATCTCTTTCAGAGCCAGGTATCTTGAGGAGAAAAAAAATCATTTTCTGCTGACCGTAAATGACAAAAATATGACCCATAGCTCTGAGATTATTTCTGGATGCTAACTATTAGCAAGGACCCAAGTGGATATACTTGCTTTGGGCTTATTTTTCCACTGTATTTAGTGGAAAATCTAAGCTTGGTCTGTCCCAGGTCATATTTTGCTGTTCACTTGATGTTTGCTTGTGGTTACATAAGTGGAAGGCACAACAGGACTCCTTGCAAGGTATATTGCAAACCCAATAGGCAATTCAAGTTCTGCTTTCCAGTTGGTTACTCTCCTAGTTATTACTTTGTTGAAAAAGACAGGTGAGATAAAGAATAAAACTCTGCCTTTCATCTACAGTAGTGCAATCTGAGAAACCTGAGGACAGAAAAATAATATGTGATGGTTGCTGGGGGGATGGGGGAGTAGGCTGCCTCCACACTGGCCCAATTCCAGGTAATGCCCTCTTACTGGGTCATTATTATTGCTCGCACTAGTATCATTGCTCAGCCTTAGGGGCAGATCTTGCCCAAACTTTCATGTATGTAATGCAAAAGGCAGCAAAACATATAGGGCACTGGGCTGGGGAATAAGGATGAACCTGGAGCACTGAGAGGTTAAACTCACCTTCCCCCAAGTATAGAGCTGCCCTGCCCTGTGGTCTTACTGCTGGCTGCAACTGTGGACTACAAATCCCAAAGGCACCTGGAAGCAGGAAGAGGAAGTGATGAGCAACCCTACACAGTCCTGCTGTTGTGAGTTTGGACTGCAAATCCTAGAGACCTCAGGGGCATTAGGAAGAGGAAGCAAACATGCAGCCCATACTGGCTATGTGCCAGTGAGCCCTGCTCTAGTGCCCCCTGGCTTCTGGCTTGAGCCACTGAAGGCATGTGGCTGCATTTCCTAATCACAACTGAATATCTGTTCATTTGCTTATTAGTTCAATCTTTGCAGCTTAGACTAACCTGCAAAAACAGAATCAATTCAGCCTCAGGCTTTTTGACTGTCTATACTTAGCCATGCTGTATGTGCTGATGGTACTAAACTTTAATTCTGAGGCTTTGACCGTGGCTGGGGAGTGGGTTGGTTTCCTTTTCCCACAGAACTGCCATGTGCACATCTTGGTGCAGAAGACAGAGGATTTGATAGCTGACCAGTGAAAAGCATCTCATGCAAAGATACAGGAACAAATGATGCCCTACTTCACACCCTCTTCACTTCTACTGTATTCAGTTAAGTTGCATGGCTGTAACCAGTGCTGAATTTAGGTCATATTAATTGTTTTCTATTCCGTAACTCAGGCGGAAGGATAATTCTGTTTGCAGGACAACCAGAACAAAGAACATGCAAACTGATCTCAAAACAAGTAGTCCTACATATCACAATATAAGTTACAGAATAAATAAATCAATCACAGCCTTCACCTGCAGCTCTGCTGCTACCATTGTTCTGAACTCCTCTTAAGCCAAATTGATAATCCTATATTATTCCTTTATTCTCAGGTTTTGTGTCAAAAAACCAAGTCCCCTAGGGATTCAGAGGTCACCACTGGCCTGACATTGGCCAATGACCAAAATTAAGAGCAACACCAAAGTTGAGTGTATGTGTGCAGAGAAAATAAGAACTGCCCCAAACCTTCTCCCAAAATCCAGCCTTAATCTTTTTTGAGGTGTAAAAATGTTTGGTTAATTATTTGAAGCACATGATTAGCTTAATCAATTCCTGAGACTACCCACCTGCCATGACGAATCTCTTCTGAGATTTTTCAGCCCTATGGTTCAGATATTCTATTTCTTCAAAGATCTGGCTATCTTGGGTGGCTAAATTAAATCACCAAGTTTATGATGTCCATTGCTAATTTAAACCAAAGAGCCAGTTGCATCAGTACTCTCAAACTGAGGTAGATCTAGGATCCAAAAGAGAAGAGGATGGCAAGAGTAAGGAGAGTTATACAAATGGTTGCCTAAGGGCTGGTTAAGCCCCAGCACAGTTCAGAGCAGCTTTGGGGTTGATCTAACTTGTGCCTGGATGGTTATGCTTCTCTGGAGCCTTTCTAGCAAACAAGAATAGCTAGAGTTCAGCAGTGTTCTCACCATTCTCCAGGGAATGTTTCCAAGACACACCCTGCATCCAAAGCTGTTCTGCTGGATGATATAAGGACATAATACTAATTCTACAGGAATTCCTCTGTCATGGGGGAATTATCTGGGAGCTGAATTCCCTGGGCTTATGCCTTTTTTATGTGAGTGGAGTTGGGACAAAGGGGCCACAGAGCAGTGGTGAATGATGTGGGTAGTTCATTAACACACAACAATAGATTCTTTTGCAGTAATTTATTTAAATATTTCAACCCAGACTTTATTTGGCTCTGACCCTTAAGGACCTGGGTTGGGTAAGTAACCTAAACCCCAGCTGTGCTGGAAGTTCCATGTGTTATAGTGATGATGGTTTTCCATCAGCAGCACCTGCTTATAAAATGCTTAACTCACATACCTGCAGTGCCTTTGAATGCAATTATTCATCACCACTGACTTGCAGAGTACCTGTCAGTTTGTAGATTTAGCTGCTCAAAGACTACTGAAGTGCAGAGGAGATTCATTTGATTTTTCTACATTGTAATGCACATCTAGAGGTCTCCACTCCTGCAGGTTAGATGTCAGATTTACTTTTATAGGCAGTGAGGAGGAAAAGGGAGGGGACTTACTAGCGTGTTCAGTCAGAAGTTGAAAATATGTCAGTACACTAAGTCACTAATCTTCCAAATCCTCTGGATGTTCCAAATTTTCTTTAGCCCAGGCACATGCTTTCTTATCTGAATGGAAAAGATGACACATTTAGGTGAAGTTTTCAGAAGGATGTTTTAAATTACTTGCAGCTGATTACAGTTTTACTGAAAGCATCAGTTTGCAACAACCTGACTTTTTACTGAGGCTCTGGAGCAAACTGAGGGTTCCAGGAAAGAAGCTAGTTTTTAAGACACATGCTGATCTTGGGTCTGTGTCATTCAGGACTGTGTTCCCACCAGGTTTGGCAGTATACACTCCATTCTCTAGAAATCTCATTCCTGTACCTGCAGGTAGAGTGATGAAAGATTTTTTTTTGCTTCAGCCCCTTTGTTAGAGGCAGGCTAGCTGAGGACTTTATCATTTAGGCCTGTAATATGCTTGCTGTATAGTAAATGACAGGTGACCAGCCCTCTTTGTGTTTTTATGGGGACAGGTTATATTCTTAATTTGGGGCTTTAAAGCAGATCCATGGGGATAATGAATGCTTACAACTCCTGCCAACCGTTTTGTGCCTTTTAAGATTGAGCCTCGGATGAGCTACTGGTGCTGGATAATTCTGTCGCTACACAAATTTTTGAGGGAGACATGGGAAAAGACCTTCCTTTGCCTTCTATTACTAACCAAACCCCACATAAAAAAGCATTCTTGATTCCTTACAGCTATCTGGCTCTTGTCGCTGAGTGCCCTAATTCTCTTTAGTAATAAATTGTAATGTTACCAATAGGTCAACAAGCAATAAGAGCATAACTCCTAGGTTAGAAAGCTCCAGAAATATGTTGGACACAGCATAGGCAACTGGTATGAGGTGCACAGGGGGCACATACCCCCCCTGACAGGGCCGTCCCTGCCACTGGCTTCTGCAGGTGCTCACCAGCCCCATCCCCGCCACTGACACCAGCTTCTGCGGGTGCCCCTCCAGACTCAGGAGGCACCAGTCGCCCATGGGAGATGGGTATGCTTGGCTCTTTTCCCCCATGTAGTCCTGCATGGTATTTGGTTTCTATTTGTGCTGGATCTCAGTCTCTAGAATTTGGCAGAAAATCTGGGCAACAGAAAACAAGCCAGACACTGCACTGGAAAGTAACTTTGCATCCTGAAGTGTGGTTTTCACAGAAGCTGATGCTTTGGTTGTCTTTCATGGACCTGACCCAAAAGGATCAGTAATGACTTTAAAAGGCCCCTACTGGTAATACAGGAAACAGGACCAGGATCCACTCCCAGCTGCTGACAGGCAAGTTGAAACTTTGTTCTAGAAAATAAAGACTTAAAGTTCACTTGTGTCATGTGATGAGCACTGTTGACTATTGCTCTTTACTGGGATGGTTTAAAGATTATAAATCAGTAAGAATGGACATTAGCAATTTTGCTTATTCTGTAAATTTATGGATTTTCTAGGAAAATAGCCCACAAGGTAGACTCCCAGGTAGACTACTACATGCTTCTCTAGTCTGGCCTGCCCTAGAGGCTGAGTGCTGAGACAGCTGCCTATCTGTCCAAACTTTTGGGTTAATCTGAATAGCAACATGTTTTCCACTTAAACTGTGGTTACCAAGACATAGTCTGTGAAGAATGCATCGTCTTTGACAAACCCAGCTCAGTGCTCACTCAGTGATTTTCTTACAATGGAGAAACAAAATCTGCAGCGCACAGATTATAAAACCAGTTACCTATGATTCCCATATAGAAGTATAGGATTATATAGCAAATATAATAGAAGATAATATTGTGGGTCTCTTTAAAGGGACACTGACATCCTTGAAATACTTTAAATAATTGCTTTTACACTGAAATTACAGACTAATAAATCCCATAGAGGATTTAAACTGAAATTTGTTTTCAGCTCAAAATTTGTCTCTTAAACATTGGCAGACAAGGTTCTTTGGGTAAATCTGATATCTTTTATTAGACCAACTCAGACAGTTGGAAAAATTCTTCTTAGCAAGCTTTCGGGTATAAATAAACACCCTTCATCAGACTGAGGAAGCATCTGCAGTTGGTGAGTGCTCTTCCTGGATGGAATGAATAGTAAAGAAGCCAGAGGCTGGTATGCATGCAAGAAAGCCAGAAGATGTAAATTGAGGACTCAGTGGGTGAGACAGGTTGGTGGGGGGAGAATGTAGCTGCTAAATAGTGGAGAAGTACCTGGGGAGTCAGATGTTAGGCAGGTTATAATGTGTCATAAATCCAATGTCTTTATTTAGTCCATGATTCTTTGTATCCAGGAGGTTGAAGTGAAGTTCATAAGCTCATCTGTGAAAAGTGTTTTGTAATTTCCTTTGAGGGTTAGAACTGAGAGGTTGGAGAGGGAGAATGATTTTCTTGTGAGAAATGTGCCCCCACAGGTAATTGGGTATTCTTGTCTTTGATAGATATCTGGTGTGCATTCATTCTGGTGCCCAGTTGTTGTTTGGTCTCTCTTACGTATTTTCTATCAGGGCATTTGAAATACAAGTCATAGTCCTGGAGGGGCTGCTGGGAGTGCAAGGTACTGTTAAAAAACAAGCTGCACCCTTAGTAGTGCCACCAGCTGCAAGGGTTAAGCTAACTGTCTGCAGGATAGGCTGGGCTTAGCACATAAGCCTAGTCTCGTCACTTAAGCTTTTGCTATTTTGTGCCTCACGCTCTGCAGTAGCTCTGCCTTGCTCCTGTCTTGGACCCCAGTACCTTGGTCCTGTTTGCCCTCCCATGACTTCTTGGACTCCATGGTTCCTTGCTTCCAGTGTGGCCTAGACTATGGACATGGATATTGCTATGGACTAGGAATTGGACTCAGAGCTGCTGGTTATAACCCCTTTATGCAGACTTGGCCCCTGATCTCGATTCCCCACGGCATCAGGCATTAGTTTAATCCCACACTTCTCAAGACTGCCTACACCCCAATCCTTACAATTATCTTTCTTATGAATAGTAAAATTAGATCAAATGTTGCTGATGCCTGCTTCATTGTTCATCATGCACCTAATGAAAGTGAAGATAGAAGCTACAGTTCCCAATAAAACCTGCTTCCTCTACCCACATTGAGTCAAGGGCAGTTTGGCTCGTGGGCCACTGCTGCCTCCCGAGTCTGGGGGGCACTAGATCACTGATGGGGGGGGGTCCCCCAGCAGCCAATTGCCAAGCCAGCAGTGAAACCAGAAGTGCACTTCCAGTTTTGCGGCTGGCATTTCCAGGGGGTGCATGGCCGATCTCAGGAGGTGCGTATAGACCTACACGCACCCCCTACACATTGCCAATGGGTTGGCTCCTATTCAGCACTATTCTTTTCCCCCATGGTTTTGTTCCTGTTGTTTGCAGTGTCAACAGACTTATTGCTGTTATACCAACACTATAAAGGCAAAGTACATGGCTCAAAAGGTGCTACTCTAAAAACAGACAGCATGAATAGAAGCTGATAGGAGGAATTGTAGAAGGGCAACATGCCGGGGCACTGAAGGTTAGCCTGAATCTAGCTTGTTCCATAAATCTTATTTGTCATCACTTTCACATCAGAAGTGCCAAGTGAGGGAGAAAGGAGACTTGGATTTGGAGGTCTTCTGACAGAAACCTGTTCTGAGCAGTGACTTGGAGGAACAGATGGAAGACTAGCAATTTGGGGAGGGGTTCCAGATGTACTGGACTATAGGAAGAAAGTGGAGGAAAGAGATGGGGAGATTATTCCTGTTGGGTGTGTGGAGTGAAGAATACGAATGAGGCACTGGTAACAGGATGAGATGAATACAGAATTCAGCTAAGCCAGGGGTGTGAAACATATGGCCCAGTGACCAGCCAGTTTCTATTTGTGGAGCTGTGTGATCTAGCCCAAGGGTGTCTGGATTGGCCCTAGGTGCTGCATGCAGCATGTGGGCTGGACCCAGCACTGCGCAGGCTGCAGGGGGTTGGCCTAGGGCACCACATGCAGCCCATGCCCCCAAACTACTGTGATGCATGCGGTGCTGGGTCCAGCCTATGCACTGTGGGAAGTAGATGCCCTGTGCCAGCCACTGGAGCCACGTGAAGTCAGCACAAAGAGCTCGTCTGGCAGGGCACTACATGGAACACACGTGCCCCTATGCCAGCCTCATGCACTGCATGTAGCATGTGCTGTCTGTCCAGCCCTGCACACTGTGTGCCTCTTGTCGTTGGCAGCCTAAGTGTGGTGGTGCAACCCCTGAGAGAAGTTGTCACTGACAGTGCCGGTGGTGCCTGCGGGTGGACACCACTCACAACCACTCGCCACCCCCCCCACCACCGTCCCTACCGCTGACAGCGCTGTGGTTGCCTGTGGGAGCTCCCCTCTTACCGCCACCATGCTCCCACCACTGACAGTGCTGCCACCACCTGTGGGAGCTCACTGTGCCCCCCAGCCTCCAGGGCACACATTGTTCATGCCTTCTGTGCTGGCCCTGGGCCTTACCATGCCCACAGTCTCCAGGGCTGGCATGGATCACACTGCCTGGGACACGTGGGATGGACCCAGGGCTGAATGTGGCACAGTAGGTCCAGGTCATGGGCTATATGTGGCTCCCTGGACCAAGCCCCATGCTGCCTGCAGTGCCAGGTCCAGGCTGTGCATTGTGAGCAGCATGTGCCCAGTGTTGGACCCAGGGGCTGGTGTGTGCGGTGTGCAGCTTGCAAGCTGAACCCAGCCCCATGTATGTGCCATAGGGGATCAGTCCCAGTTCAGCCTGTAAACTGCCTCAGCAACATTCATCTGGGCCACAGAGCTGGCTGAGTTTGACACCCCTGAGCTAAGCCATTCTAGCTGGGGCAGATCCAGAGGGAGGCAGTAGCGTGGTCTCATCCCCCTTTCAGACCACACCATGAGAACATCAGCTAGGAGCTTTATTTTAAAGTCTCTAAAACAGGTCTACAACACTCCCCTTCCCTTGTCCCTGCCACTGCCATTGTCCCTGCTGTTTCTGGCTGTCCAGGGGGTGTGGGGAGCTCCAGAGCTGTTTCTGCCTCACTCCAGCCAGGCTGTGTGGGGAATCTAGGCTTAGCCCAGGGCAGGAGCAGCAGGCAGGTGCCCAATTTCTGTTCCCATTCCCTGCCTCTCCAAGGTATTCTCTGCAGCGTAGGAGGAGGTGGAAGGAAGAGGGAATTCTTACCTGATTCAAGGACTTTAAAAAGGCTCTGGCTGCTGCTCCCATGGCATAGTCTGCTCATCCTGTTGTGGGTAGGAAGCTGGGAGTGAGGTGCAGGTGTTCCTGCAACACCGGTTGCTGTTCCCATACCCCTCTTCATGAAATCCTGAATACACCCAATGCATTCTACATCTACATCTGGAAGGTGCCCAGAAATTGCATTTGATACAGAAGGGGGAGGGTATAAAGAGGAGTCAGATATTACTAGAGCAGCCAGAGAGACTTCTCTGGTGAAGCTGTATCTATTAACCCAGGTTAACTTCTGAACAGAAATATGCAGCACAACAGTGGCCTGTTTCTAGACGGATTGTATGTCAGAAAAGAAGCTAGAAAGAAAATGCAGTAAAATGTTAGGGAAACTATGTAAATAAAACACAGATCCTCTTGTCATACTTGCGGCCAAGCTAGTTTTCAAAAGAGGGGAAGAAAGTACCCAGGAAAAGGTAAGACAAAAGTAGAATTTTCTCTTGGTAGCTACCTAAAACAAGATAGATGCATTAGCAGTTTGGTGAGGGCAAGTCTGTTTTTCTCCTTGTGGATCTTTTGTCTGCCAGAAAGGGTGGGTTTCCATTATGGCACTGTGGACTGCAAAGTGTGACTGCTCCCCTTCTGCCCTTTACAGGGGAGCTGGCTGCACCGGCACTGAATGCTGATTTGCAGCAACTCCCCTCCCCCTTTTTTATGACTACTATGGTTTTTACTGTGCAATAAATGTTCACTGTATGCATTATTCTCCCATCAAGTGTCAGTCTTTATACCCAGCTGACAAAGACAGAGGGAATGCTGTTTTATTGGAAACAAGTTGCCCTCCTCAAAAAACAAAGCCAGATCTACCAAAAAGATCTTTTTCATCCAGACTAGGAGAATTCCAGCCTCCCAATTCCTCCAGGAGCTTGGAATAGCAAAAGCCTCACTAAAATGTGTGTGAGAGATTAATGCAAACATTGAAAGTGACAAAAACATTGTTGGCCAAATCCTCAGCTAATGTAAGCAGGTATCACTCCATGGAGGCCAATGGAACAGAGTTAAATTTTCCCCTGATCCATAACAATATGCTTGAATTTCCAGATTTGGCTCTGATCCTGGATCAAAGGTCTCACTCTCCTGAATTCTGGACTTCATTAGGTTTTGAGATTGCAATGACTTCCTCCCTTCAAGAAACAGACTTGCAGACTAAACAAAGAGAAAATATTAGGAATTGCTGCTGCTGCCAAATAATGGGCAGTGTTCTCTTTATCTTTTGGTGTCTCTTTTCCTTCCTTTTTGCTTCAGCTGTGGTCTGTTGTCATTATTTTAAGTTTTATCTGTTTAATTTAGATGGTGAACCCTGATGGAGCAGGGTCATTGTGTTTGTGTCTGTGTCTAAAGCACCCTGCTGGCTAATAGAACTGTCAAAATCATAATAACGAGCAGCTTGCACTCTTGTTTAAGATAATGAACATTTTTACCTTAGCTTATAAAAACAATATCCACCTGGCTGGATGTGTTGCACATATATGAAGCCAACTAGTTTCATGGGTCTTGTTGGCTAAGCCAGAGTCTTAGGTTTAATTAAATGGTGGGAAAAGGTTAACTTCTGACAGCCCCTAACATTGAGAAAATAGCTGAACTGCTGAACAAAATACTGGCTATGACCATCCCAAGGAGACAAAGTATTGCCCAGGGACCAGAGCACCTTTGCTTGATGACAGACCCGCAGGGAAATAATTGCTAAGATCCACCTTGGAACGTACCAAACAAAGTAACTACTTAATCTGGGGAAACTGGGAGTTGCCTACAAGGATTAAATGGTCAAAACCCAATTAATATATACACTCTGCATGTTCTTTAGCAGAAATGAAGTAATTGCCAAGATGGTGGTGTACAGGTTTGGATTGTGACTGGTACTTGGAGGGGTTCACCTATAAGCGCCCAAATAGTGTAAGATGGATCTGTAATGGCTACTCTTTGAACCACTATATATCTGACATCAATTCCCAATTACATTCATCCAATCAAGTAGTGGATGGTCAAGAAGAAGCAAACCAGGCACAACTTATGTGTTCTATGTGTGTGTATGTGCTGCTGTATGATGGGTACCCTAACTGAATTTGGGAAAGTGACATGTTGCCTGAATAACCATGTTTCTGAAGATGTCCTTGTCTCATTTTATTTTAAATACTTATTTATTTAAAAAAGGAATACAGCTGGTTCGAAGTCCATCCTCCAATGCATACAAATATCAACTGTGGTGTGTGTCTGTTGCATGAGTTACTTTCCATGCCACAATCCCACCACCTGTTCATCGGAGCATAAGCTTAAAAGCTCAGTTGCTCGGGGCAGAGAGAGAGAGGATATGGGAAAAGGATGAGGGAAGAAGTAGATAAGAAAGCAAAAAGGGAATGAAGAGGTTGAGAGAGGATAACAAAGATGGGGAGGGCGGAAAGGAGGAAGAGTGAGGAAATACCGGTCGTGTCTGACCAGAGCAGCGTAAATTTGGAGTAATACCAGTCATAAGCTACAAGGTTGCTCCATCTGCAAAGCAGATAGCTAGAAAGCTGAGATGAGTGTAAATACTTGGGAGATTACAGTGGAGAGAGGAGAGTTGCTGGTCTGTTGCTAGGTGATGGATTTCTTATCATGCTAATGACAATAAGCGAAGAGAGATACGGATAATAATAGAGCACCTTCCATTTGAGAATAACTGAGGGTTCTCCAAGCATCTGAGTATTCCTGCTCCCATTTCCTAGAGGCAGAGAGGAATTGATTTGCCACAGGTCACACAAAGTAGTGCCGATGACTTTCAAAATAGGAAATTGCCACATTTCATTCTATTAGGCCAGTGACCATCAAAAAGCCTTCTTACCACCAGCAGCCTCTCTTCATCAATCATCCTCACTTCCCTCCTTCCTGAGCAGCCCTCCCATGTCTTATTTGTTTCTTTTGTCTCATTTAGATTGTAATCTCTCCTGGACATGGATCATCACTTATCTAGGATGGCAAAGGTCTGTGTAAACCTATGGGCTGAATCCTGCTGAGTGAGGCAGAGTCTGGGACTGCATCACCTAACCGTATGAGGTTTTGGTAGGGGTTGGTTCTTGGGAATGTGCAAGCTCTTCATTAGTTACCAGCTGTTCAGGCTGTCCCAGCTTTGAGG